CGATGTGGTCTGTTTGGTTGGTATATAAACAGAGTATGTTTGCAATATAACGATTCATAACTGAGAGGCTGTGACTCGCGTTCTGGACTCAACTGGCTGGGCTAGACAGGGAAGCGGGACCAATCACGGCACTAGGTCGTCCACTACGTGTTTTCCGTGTCACTGATTCTGATCGATAAAACGCTGCTTATCATAACCTGCAGTCCACACGTGACAACAATTGGCGACGGGGTAGAGAAAGTTTTGAACCCTGTAATTGGACGAGATTCAGCATAATTATTTTGGCCAATCAGCATTCAGATTGATCGTCGGTGTTCTTGGAAGTCATTGGTTGTTAATTGATCACAGTATTTCTCATTAGCCTGCTGATTCAGAAAATGACTATCCTTCCCGATCAATTGCAGCTACTACTTGATCGCCAACAGCAGCGTTTCAGAGAGAGAGCCAGTTGAATGTTTTGGACAATTTACGCACGCGACTGCTAAGTCTCCAATGTTTCGGAGATGTGCAAGAAATTGATGAATTAATTTCTCACTTGCATACTGAACTCGAAAATGACTGCAGCACGTATGAATATGAAAAGAAAAGCCTCTATGAATCCCTGATGATCAGTAATGCAAACGAGGCAGTGGCTCATGATCCGTCCAGCGATCCAGAAATGTCCAATTCAAAAGCATTCCCTGTCGTCGGTTCAAATCCCACTGTGCCCGAAACATGTGCAGACAGTGAGGCATCCAGCTCACAAGAAGAACCCCTCGTGCCAGAAAATGTGTCCCGTGCATCGAATAATGGTCACAGATCTGATACAAATTTCAAAAATGCTGCTTATTTTAGTGATCTATTATCCACTAATGGAGTTTTGAAGAGGTCTGATGAATACGTTTCACAAGAATCAAATCTTAATGACCTCATATCTAGTGTCGCTGATCCTCATCATCTAGTCAGTTCGAGTGGACCCTCTACTCAATGCGGGAACTATGCTTTGAATAGAATCAGACTAACTGTTATTTGGGTATATGAGGACCCAACATTATTTCGCGGGTGAGGACGGACGCAGAAAATTTTAGAAATCCGGATATCAACTCCGGATCTTCAAAAAATGTGGAGGTGTAATGGATGCAGAATAAGATACCAATCATTATCATGTTAAGTCTAATGATGTCCTTGGACCTTAAATGTACACTCCCTATTGGTCGATATTTATTTCACTTGTTAAATATTGTGTAAATGTTGTTTTCTATTGTTGTGGTACGATGTGGTCTGTTTGGTTGGTATATAAACAGAGTATGTTTGCAATATAACGATTCATAACTGAGAGGCTGTGACTCGCGTTCTGGACTCAACTGGCTGGGCTAGACAGGGAAGCGGGACCAATCACGGCACTAGGTCGTCCACTACGTGTTTTCCGTGTCACTGATTCTGATCGATAAAACGCTGCTTATCATAACCTGCAGTCCACACGTGACAACAATTGGCGACGGGGTAGAGAAAGTTTTGAACCATGTAATTGGACGAGATTCAGCATAATTATTTTGGCCAATCAGCATTCAGATTGATCGTCGGTGTTCTTGGAAGTCATTGGTTGTTAATTGATCACAGTATTTCTCATTAGCCTGCTGATTCAGAAAATGACTATCCTTCCCGATCAATTGCAGCTACTACTTGATCGCCAACAGCAGCGTTTCAGAGAGAGAGCCAGTTGAATGTTTTGGACAATTTACGCACGCGACTGCTAAGTCTCCAATGTTTCGGAGATGTGCAAGAAATTGATGAATTAATTTCTCACTTGCATACTGAACTCGAAAATGACTGCAGCACGTATGAATATGAAAAGAAAAGCCTCTATGAATCCCTGATGATCAGTAATGCAAACGAGGCAGTGGCTCATGATCCGTCCAGCGATCCAGAAATGTCCAATTCAAAAGCATTCCCTGTCGTCGGTTCAAATCCCACTGTGCCCGAAACATGTGCAGACAGTGAGGCATCCAGCTCACAAGAAGAACCCCTCGTGCCAGAGAATGTGTCCCGTGCATCGAATAATGGTCACAGATCTGATACAAATTTCAAAAATGCTGCTTATTTTAGTGATCTATTATCCACTAATGGAGTTTTGAAGAGGTCTGATGAATACGTTTCACAAGAATCAAACCTTAATGACCTCATATCTAGTGTCGCTGATCCTCATCATCTAGTCAGTTCGAGTGGACCCTCTACTCAATGCGGGAACTATGCTTTGAATAGAATCAGACTAACTGTTATTTGGGTATATGAGGACCCAACATTATTTCGCGGGTGAGGACGGACGCAGAAAATTTGAGAAATCCGGATATCAACTCCGGATCTTCAAAAAATGTGGAGGTGTAATGGATGCAGAATAAGATACCAATCATTATCATGTTAAGTCTAATGATGTCCTTGGACCTTAAATGTACACTCCCTATTGGTCGATATTTATTTCACTTGGACATTAATCGATAAATTAATCGATATGTTAAAATTATAAATATGAATTTTGGATATATACTGTATCCAACATAGTAACAAGCACGCGTCATATCAATCCTGACCTAACGTCTGGAAAGCAAACCTATCATATATCATGCACTCAGCATCGTCGGTAGATTGGACATTCGATCCAGAGTCCTCAAGTGAAACGACTAAGGTTCCATTTCGAAATTCATACTTTAAAGCCACCGCACACCACATCTCTTGGACTATACCAAGGGGGCCGAGAAACACTCCACCATGGTTCACTAGGGAGGTCACATCCTTCTCCGTAAGAGAAGAAATATGTGGTACGGATTTAAGTTACTGGGGACTGATGCGACAAAATCTCAGTGTCAAAAAGCTCAGGATACCTGTGCCTCGACCCTTTGTATGTCTAAGAAATTGTACTAAGAGGAGATTGTTACGGAATCTATAGAATATCCTAAACGCTTGTATTCGTATATAAATCAAAGGATAAAAATAAGAGGAAATATTTCTGCACTATGGGGAGACAGTACCGTCTCATCATTAGTGAAGGACGACTTTGGTAAAGCTCAAGTATTCTAAAACTACTTTAGCAATGTATATATCATAGAAGCACACTTCCCGTCAGCGCATACAAACCCCCCAACACATACACTGGATAGCGTGACCATTAAAGAACTCGGTGTCTTTGGTCTGCCAAATAAGCTCGACATGGGTGAATCCACGGAGCCCAATGAATTGCATCCTAGGCTACTACAGGAAATATAGAACCTCGTTGTGAACCCTTTAATTATATGATTTGATCTATCTGTAACCCAGGGTCATTTACCAAAAGACTGAAAGAATGCCATAGTAAGTCCTGTCTTCAAAACAGGTACGAAACATAAACCTGAGAATTACCGACCGGTTAACCTAACAAGTGTGGTTGTTAAAATCCTAGAAAAGATTATTCGGAAGGAGCTGTTTACGTATCTTGATAAAAACCGGATCCTTTCGGAGAAGCAGCATGGTTTCAGAATAAGTTACTTTTGTCTCACTAACTTATTAGTGGCTCGTGAAAGCTGGTGCGCTCTTAAGGACCAAAAGCTACCTGTAGACGTAGCCTTCATTGATTTCAGCAAAGCTTTTGACAAGGTTCCGCACAACCGGCTGTTATATAAGTTAAGAAATGTCGGGATTGGAGGCAATTTTTTGATGTGGATAAAAGACTTCTTAGTTGAGTGAACTCAAAGTTATCTAGCTGGAGAACTGTGCTATGTGGTGTTCCTTAGGGTATAGTCTTGGGGCCATTGTTATTCTTGTTGTATGTAAATCACCTTCCTCGCCACCTATCATCATCGGTCCTGCTATATGCTCACGATGTCAAGATATGGAAAGTGATGCGAAGTAAAGGTGATAGCTTAGAACTCCAAAATGACCTGAAGAAATTAATTGAATGGTTTCAAGCCTGACAGTTGCCAATAAATACTCCCAAGTGTATTGCGATGTATATCGGTCATCAAGGTACAGATACATACACGACTCATAACACTGAGCTACCTGTTGTGTAGACACACAATGACTTAGGGTTTGTCGTTAGTCAAGACCTAAAGACTACTCAACACTGCCGTGAAATAGCCGCCAAAGGTTATAGAAATTCGTGATCAATAATTAGAGTCTTTTATTCTTGTCGACGCTAAAATATTTTTGACTTTGCAAACAGTATTCGTACGTCGTAAACTTCAGTACTGCATACAACGGGCTAGCCATGGCTTAAAACAAGACAGTGAACTTTTGAAAAAGGTTCAGAGCGAAGCTTCCGACTGATGCTCGACTGGCCAAGCTATACCTTTTCCCGTTTGTCATATCGTAGAACTAGAGGCGACTTGATTACAGTTCTCAAATTGCTTAGTGAAAAATTTGCATTTGATACGCTATCATTTTTCTTGTTTTCCAAAACAGAGAATTTACGAGGACACTCCAAAAACGTTCACAAGCCCAGGACAAATTACTTGTCAGTTGACTATCGACTTTCCCATTGAATGATCAACAAGTGGAATTCATTACCTCAGCATGTGATTGAGGCTACATCCGTCGGCTTTTCCAAAAGAAAGTTGGATCAACTGAGAGACCAACATTGCCAAGACTAACACAGGCCATCGAGCCTCTTGTCCTTTCCAAACTGGAACTGACATGTCAAGATGCGTTTGATATAGGCTGTGCCAAGCATAGCTTACATGATCTGATGAGAAAGCATACCAAATTGTCTTCAGCTAGGGTATCACCAGTAAAACTAATGAGGTCAACATCAATATCAAGGACATATCAATATATATATATTGGGGATTTCTTTACCTCAATAACTAGAAAAAACAGTTTGTGAACATAAAAAACACATAACTTACCAAGTAATTAGTTCACGATTGTCTCGCTTGAAGTTCAAATCCACCGGTGAGAGATCAAGAAGGACTTCTTGCGTTTAATGAAGGTCGAGAGTTTCTTGTTTTAATGAACTACAAACACAGGTTTTTTGTTGCTATCTAAGCCGTATTTTTGAGCTATTTACTGCATATCGTGTAAGTGGTTCTTTTGAAAACCAAAGGGGTTAAAATGAAGTACAACCAAATACGGAAGGCTTCTTGATGAGTCATTCAAACTATCTGGAACCAGTTTGTTGTTTAAATAGTTCTACAAATCCATCTTATTGTAGAATGGTTCTTGTGAGATGTGCTATAAATATAGAATGAATGATTGTATATAGTGTACTGAAGGGGAGTATATGCACTTATTTTTATCATGAGCTCAGAAGTTAACTCCGAAGATAACTAAAAGACCGAACAGGTGGGTGAAGCCTGGCACAAACGAGTGGAAACTATTCCATACTCTTGTTAATGATCCTGAATTAGATAATGCAAGATTTATGCGACATGAAGTGGCCAGCAAAGAAAAGTTTGTGAGATACAAGCTTTTGGATAATGACTGATTTTGCATAGGCAGACCGTCGACATTTTGCTATGTGAGGCCATAGTACTGAACCTATCGAAGAAGTGTATTTATGTCACATAAATACTTCTAAGTGGAAATAAAAAGAAAATGGGCAAACTGTCGGCCCGTAAAATAAAAAAGAAAGGCCGTATCCCTGAGATCTCTAAAACGCTTCTGATTGGCTCGTCCACAAATTAGAGTCTCACCGACTGTTCTTGTATATCTTGTCGATAAAACGTTAAAAAGCCAATTATCCTTTAATTTCTTCCAGCATCGAAATCAAAGTTTTAATTCTTTATGCTTTGTATTTTAAAACTGATGGTTATTACCTCTGTCTCTACACTTATTAACCAGCCCAGATAAATTTGTGTTACTAAGCAAAATCATAGGCGCATCCTTGGTTGTTTCGACAACTAATAGATATGTCTGCAAGGGCATTGTGCGTTCATTTCTTCTATGCAAAACAACGGAGTAAAGCTAATTGTATGCCACTTAAATAGCTTATGGTGAAGTCTGAGTCGTTCAAATATTTTAATGACCAACAAACTTGTCTTGAACCTTTGTTTTTGACAGAAAATTGTCTTACTGTAGTGGTTCTCGTGGGAGTAAAGGAATAGGCACTTCACTACATCGTCCAAAGTATCTAAACTTTGTAACGATCATGTTCGTTCTCTTAAAACGCTATTAAAACCCTAAATAAACGTCAAAAACTTCATATTTTATGTGGTACAATGATCTTATTGAATTACATTAAGCAATATACAACTTAGCATCAGCTAAATTGATTTAAATATATTGTGGTGGACCAGACAAATATGAACATGAAAAAGTGTTAGCCAAGTTATAAAGAGTAAATAATAATGTTAACAGTTACAAATACAACAGAAAATTTGGGACTTTACTTAAGTTCACCAAGTTGACGCGTCTTCGGATTGGGTCTGGTACTAAAATTCCACAATTATAAACGTTCAGTAATTCCGCTCAGGTTGTTGGACTCTCCAGTAATGTAAACCAATGCTAGGTATGATATATTCCGACTCACAGTCTGTAAATGCAGATAATGTTTGATTTTTAATGCAGCTAGCTCAATCACAGACGAAGGTAGAACAAGGTATGTGTATATAGCAGTGTATTTGAGAGCAAGCAACAGCATGTCACGCTGTGTCAGTAACACGACGGATAATGTGTTCAAGGTCATTCACTAAAACAACAGGTACATTCATTTAATGATAAATATACATACAGTGAAAGATTGACAAAATAAATACAAATAATATTAAAAACTATTTACAAAATGAGCTTGTCAGCCATATATCCTTAATCTGAACAGTGAAAACAAATTTGTGTTTAAAGTTCGATATGAATAGTCCTAATAACTAGTATTAAACTCTTATTCTATATCTCGTTTAATGAATCTAGTTAGGTAGCTAGGTCAAGCGGATAACATAAAAATAGATTACTAATAATACCAAGTTCTTGAAAGCGGTTCGCACAAATATCTTTTATGAAGAAAGGAAATTAAAATGTTTGAAGTTAAGGTTACTTAAATTTTTTCATGGCCGCTCTAGTCATGATGAGCTGAGTACTAACAAAATGCCGGCTTGGATATATAGGGTAACTTTTAAAATCGTCTGTTTGAGGTTGTGGAAATTGTTCAAATTTCATTGAAATCATGAAGTTATAGATTTGAAACCATCATCAAAAACCTGAAACCGATGAACAGTGGTTTCGCCTTAGCATGGCATTGATTGGCTTTAAAGATTGACACTGTTGAATACAAACTCAGTGGTTTGGAAGTTAATAGTCCTCGTGTGATGCGAAGAATGTTGGGTTTGAGGCCCGCGTGTAGGGTCGTGGATGAACACTGACAAGTAGTTCCATACAAGACCAAAACCACCGTCCATTGGTTGCAGATTTTTAATGGTCGTCTAACATTGACCGGTTCATGATTTGAGGTTAACAACACGCTATACTGCTTATAAAGTGTCAAGTGTACTACAGAGTGGTGCATCAAGTACATTTTTATGCCAACGAGACCAAGCGTCAAGAATGAAGGATTTACAACAACCACAAGTAATTGGCATTTTACATCTTTGAACTATGGGTAACTAAAAGATAGGTCACTAAATATGGTGAGCTTACTATTGTGAGTGGAAATTGTTGGTTAGTCATATATTACAACCAAATGGGTGTACAGTGTTCTTTGGTTTGTAATATCTGCCGAGCTTACACGAATCTGTGATAAAACCCATCCATAATTCTTACTAATTTCCGCAAACTTATCAGCTGAATATATGCTAACTGACAACGCACATACTACAAATGTCAGCATTTATTAATGACATGGTACTGAACACTGTTTACAAAAAATCGCTAAGAAGTAGAGCAGTTTCACTCATTGAGTAGTTTTAAATATTGCGACATATTTGGATTCAAATTAACCCAGTTTAGTTATGCTTATTCATCTTAATTTTTTTCAGGACTGAAATCATGGATTTAATTAGACCAACAAAAGAAACTTTATTAAGTGAAATAATTACGAGAAATCAGGAAGCAATATATGATTCAACTAAAAAACGGCCACTTGGTTGTTCATCCATACAAGATTTATCACCTCATTTGGATAAATATAAAACAACATTTGGAATGATATATGAAAAAGGTAAAGTCAACGTGATAATTAAATAAATGTACTGATCGTAAAAAGGTAGTGATGAGTGAACATGCGAGGTCTACATTGTTTACGTTTACTAAAAATTAGAAAGAAATATTTACCTTGGGTGTTGTAATTTGTTATTAGGACACAAAATAAAAACTGATTTATTGATCTGTTAAATCTAAAGAATAGACTGACATGATGAACAATATCCGTTCACCTTCATTGTATGGTCTTTTTAACTTCACTTATGTCCTACTGTTTTATGTTCATCTTCAAAGTGGAATGTCAGTTTAATTTTTGAAACTATATACAATAATTGGATATATTAGAGAAAAAGGTACTCTTTAACAGCAATGACAGCTTAGTTATCCTGTTCAATCAGACAAAAAGTTAAATGACCATAAAGGTTAAAACATACAAGTGTGCTCAGCTTGAGTAAAAAGGAAGCATGCAATTACGATATTTTAACAATAATATTAGATAAAACTTTATTTTTATAATTGCTGACTTATCTTGTCAAATGAAATCATCTTTGCATCGAAGATCAAGTTAAGCAAGAAAATGGATCCGGTTGTTTGTTTTCATGACCTCATTTTAAGTATAGAGAGTCTCACAAGAAATCAAGTACTGTTGTGTCACAAAGTTAATGCCATCATCTTGATTGCTATGTTATCAGAATGTAACCGGAATTCTCATTTATCTAGGGGAAAGAGCCGGAGATTTAATAAACCCACGAAGAAAACGTATTGATATTACAAATGAAGAATTAGAGAATCATCAACATTATCTCATTTCGCATAAACATTTATCCCCTGGTGAGCAGGCGCATAGAAATTATAAAAAGTTAGTCAAATTGCATATCTGCAAATAATGTTTACTGTTAAAACATGTATGGATTAGTGAGTTTATGAGGTATACATCTCTTAAAAATATAAAATAATCGAGGAAATATAACTCCTTAATTGTATCTTTATCATCATGGCTCTCAACTAAGATAAGTTTCATTTTATAATGACTGATTACTGAGTGGTGAATAATTTCATGTTTGTCTCCTACTTTGATGCCAATTAAATTCTGTAAATAATGTTGCAGCTTGACCACTAATTCAAGTAACTTGCTATCACATGAAATATTTTGATGTTAGGTTCTCATATGTAATCGAAAAGATATTCTTAATCTAAGCTCCATACAAGTGGCTTACCTGGAGTTTTATCCGTAAAATGCAGTCATCACTCAATCCGATACAAATATAAAAATGATAGCAGTTCAGTTGTTAATCAATGCAAATACCTCAGTTTCACAGGAGGTCCGCTGTAGTTCAAATGGCTCATTGGCAAAGTCACAGATTGTGAGACTGGTTCACCTGGGTCCAGATATTTAAGAGGGCATCAATCCATTCAGCACTCTAGATGCGTCTTGGTAACAAGTGACAACTGAAATGTAACTTAGGGTCAAGGTTTTTTTAAACTATCTACAACTACGAAAATCTATGTTGATTTGGCATTTACGAATAAAAATGAACGTAGGACTAATGGTAACCAGTCATTTAAATGTGTACCACAAATTTGCAATAGCACCTTATTTGACAAAAAATGAGGTAAAGCCTCAAGTGACAGTTTATTAAACTAGTTGCGTGAGCGGTAAAATAAAAAGCAAACTGTGAAGAAGGGTGTATGGACGTTTTCTGGAAACAAAGATCAGATTTTTATTATAAGTTCCTGACGCCTGTGATTTATTTAAGAGGTCAAATGTAGAAGCATACAACTGAGTAATTAAAGTTAAATATATGACTTTAAATACCACCTTCATATGTGCTTTATTTTGATAAAAGGATTACAACGCACTGCTAATTAAATAAGCGAATACTAAATCGAACCATGAAAAACTTGAACTCATAATTTGTCATTAGTCTAGAACTGACGAGTTAAAAGATAATCATGGACTCAGTGGTGATTAATGTTGATAAATTTCCAAGGTTCTGGTGTGAATTTTCGACTGGTGGAGGTGAACCGTATTGCGAGTAAGACTATTATAAATGAGGCAAGTGGTTGGTCGTCATGTTGTTTTGTGAAATGAATGGCATTAGAAATATGATGCTTTGGATTTAACTTAAGTAATCCAAAGGCAATATGCACGCTGTGAGACTTTAAATCCCAGGGTACACATTACTGAATAGTCGATGTTGTTCACTACTACTACCTTTTCTTCAGTAGTTTGTCGGTTAAGGTAAGCTCGTAGCAGATACGACGTGAAGACAAACGCGTTCAATTGATATCGCACATGAAGTGCTGTACACCAATATACACAAAAAATAAAACATTGAGATAAGTTTTTCACGCCCATAAGTTATAGATTAGATGATGAATCACCTATTTAAAATCATCCCGGAAAGTTTTCATGCATTGGAGTAGCCAATTACTGAGATATTTTGTAGGTACTCATTGTGGTGAATAATTACAAGGAGTTATCGCTTCATGTTGCTAAGTTTGGCACTGAATCGATATGTCTTTCCGGGTTCAAGCCCTAGGAAGGAATATAGACATCCAAATGTAGATTGACGAGTGTTCTACGGGAGAAAATACTTGTAGGCTTTACTTTTAGTCATCGTCTGACAATATGCTTCGATATAATTTATCTAACTAAATATATCGATTTTGAGGATCTTTTCAATCCTTAATTTATTTAGTTGCGTAGATAAAAAACCTCAGGGACATTTTACACAATTTTATTGTTAAAATAAACATTACTACTGATCATATTGCTTTTTTTAATTACAATTATCAACACACCAAGTTTTAATGATAAACAAGTATTTGGTATGCATACAAATTGTGACCCACGTGGAATACACGTAGGTCGAGCTATGAATTGGACGTTTAGTGATTCTAACAATCAGAACATAGCCATTATGAACAAAACACAAAGTGATCACAAAATGAAGCATGGTGATATTTTGGGTAAAGTTAGAGATCCGTAAGTTATTTTTTTCAAACACTACTGTGTATTACGAAATAGTTACGTACGAAGCAATAGGTATTTCCCTTGTGATTCCATTTTTAAAGCGCATTAACTGTATTGGAATAGTGGGGAAAATTCAAAATGAACTGACCTCGTGTTATATCTCTCTTAATACATTTTAAGAGAAAAAAAACACTATAGGGAAGTCATTGAAATAACTGAAGCAAACAAACGGTAGCTTCAACGGTTAGAGTGACTATCCAATGATTGATGTTTTCAATAAAACCTGAGGGAAATGAATTTTCCATAAATGTCATATGATTTAAATAGTAAATTATATGCCTTATTTTGCTGGAAATTTTCATCTGAAAGTGCTTTTTATAAATTTCATTTATTTGGTCCAAAGCTCACTATCTGATCTCGTAACTGAAGCACGTCCTAGTATATATATAATTATTTTATTATTACACCTGAGCTTTAGAGTAAACGCAAGTATTTGCTGATATTTCGAGACAACACTGTGATATGTTTAAACTGGTACATGACATTTTGGAGGACCAAGTGATCGTTTAATTTAAGGTGTATATGTTGTTTTAAGAAAGAAATAAGGTTACAGAGAATATTTCAAATAAATCTTAGCTATGTTTATCAAAATGCCTCTAAACAAAACACAAATATACTTGAGATGAGTAGCAGGTTTTAGTTATTTAATTAGGAATTCTAACAAAATATCACCCTCACCATTTTGCATCAATAACTTTTGTTTATTGAGCAAACCACTAGTTAGTTACAATACAAAGTTAGTGATTGGACGTTTTATGCTGTAAAGAATAATTTGAGGCCACTAGTCTATTTTTATAAATTGATGACTTTTGCACCCTTCGAACATCTATCGCACTGTCGCATTTTTAGTTGACAATAACTGAAATATCGATCATTCAGTAAGCTGAAATAACATAATACCTAGTTCAAGCAAACATTCGACTGAATCGCTGTACCATATGGACACAGTGAGATGAAATTAGTAAGGTATATGGGAAATATGTAAAACATTATTGAAACTGAAGATCTAGTGGAGAGATAAGAACCTATTCGTCTGTGCCACTGTGGTAGATTTTAAACCATCCCATCTACTTTATTTGTATTGGCTGCCTGAATCTTCCCATTGATGTGTTAGGACAGAAACTGATCAGTCTCTTTTTGACATATATATGCATCCTGCATAGATCATCTCGATATTGCCAGTAAGTCCCAAGCAATTTACACAGAGATGGATGGTGGCTAGTAATGAAATCTAGAGCGAATTCTCGAACGAAACGCGCGTCCTGGATTCCACAGCTAGCCACTATCTATCTCTGCTTATATCCCACCCACTTTTTGCGACCATTGATCACTATCATTGATCGTGTCGGAGATAAAACATCTACACCTTTGCAAACATTCGAGTTCAACAATCAGCAAATTCATGGAATGATCCCATGACTTAGTTTGGCCGCCTCAAGCGTCCTTCCAACGTAATTTTGAGGAATAAAAATGAAATGATGTTCAGGACAAGGTGACTGAATCTAGCAAGTCGAAATGTGTGTGTACGTAGTTTGCCTTTCTTATTTTGAAGTGTTAGCAATATTGTACTGACAATGTGAAATGATTCGAGACTTTTAGGCATACTTCATACGTTAACTTTTTACATGAGGTTATTTATTTTAAATCCATCTTTAGATTCATCAGATGACAAATTAGATAACGAGGAATATTGAACATTACAATCGCATGTGTTAACTCAGTTTACTTATCAAAGTAACATTAGACAGTATTAGGAGCAACAGTGTGTGTTTTGGTCTTCATCTGTTAACCAATTTTTTCGATACTTTGTGATGTATATAGTTAACTGAAAATTTATATCTCAAAGAGAATAACTATGACTGATGTGATGAATAGTTAAAGTAAGTTAGGTATCCCAGTTTCCGTATGAATTAAACAAGAAACAAATGAAGAACAAGTATTATAAAAGTAATATTTATTATTTTTATTTGCTTATTCGCATTGGTAATAATGAAGTGGCTCATGACTAATCATATGACATTATATTCTGATTGTTAAAAATAGAATACGTGATACAATGAAAATTCCTGATGATCATATATTTGGGTTAATTAATAAAACTAATGATATTACAGTTGGCCAGCTACTACATGGTTTATTACCAAGAAATATATCTGGATTATATACTGACGACAGTAGCATTGATAAACAAAGTGAATTCAACAAGAAAAAATACACAGAGTACAGTGATAGGTTCAAATTAATAATGTCGGTTATTCATCATGCTCTTAGAAAAGCACATTACACACATGGACCAGAAATTATCGCCACTCTTTGTCAACTAGCTAATAAGGTAAGTCAGTGAAGACGTACGTGGTTTTGATTACTTATTGATTTCACTAGTACATTAGGAACTTGCTTCTAGACATGTTTTTGAGATGATCAATGGAGTTCAGTGATATCGGGAGTAAGACAATGATTAATCATTGGTCTATACTACAAATAGATTGAAATTAAAAAAACAGATTATTAGATTCTGTTCCAGTGGTATAAAGGCTATGGTTTGAATTACTATTCGGAGGAAGGACAAAATAGATGTATAATGCTTCGTGATTGGCAACGATGTTTCAACTGGTATAAATCTATGATGAAATTCAGTAATAAAATAAAAGGATCTTTATGAAAATCTTAACAGAAGGATACAATGAGTAACAGTGGATTCTCTGTTGTAATTTCGTATCAAGTAACTATGATAAAGCTTAAGTTGTATGAAAATTATTCGTCACAACCTAATTATTTGACTGGTTAAAGAGGATTTATCACAGAGAAAGAATATCATTGGTGTTGCTTTATCTGTGTTGAATGGATAAACCATGAAGCTCTCATTAGATGTAGTTAAACACAGCCATCAACGGAAGTTTTCAGAAATTTGGCCACAAATAATTGGTAGTTTGTGTTGTCAAAATGCAATTTGAGTGAATGTTATCAATAACTGTGTTGTCATTGTTTGTGCATCCAGTATGACTGTGTTGTTTTACATAGTTTAAAATACAACACTTTACATGATAATCAGTCCTTTTTTATTCAAAAACGGACTGGTTCTATCCAATACCATCCAATTTTACCCAATAGTGAATGACCTGAATGTTATACCCTTGATAAACTCCCCAGTCATCTTTTTGCTCAATCTCACCAATTTTTCAGAGGTTTTATTTAAAGAGATAAAGCTTTAGAAATAATTCATCCAGTCAAGGGAATGAAAAATCATTGAAAAATATCTGATCATATCTTACTTTTGTAATCAGTGAAGACAACTTATAAATGAAAAATATTTGTTATTCTAAATTCGGTAAAAGTCTGTTTTCTGTTTGAAACAGTATGCAACAACTGAACGAACTTGCAAATATTTCTCGTTGAGGTCTATGTGTTTTTATAAATTTAAGGGACTGCTTATAATCGGCTATAACAAGTTAAAAAAGACCACTGTCACTAAGGCTGAAAACTCTGAATCTATATTTCATGCAAGTGGATACTCCCTAGCCTGATGTGTTAGAGAGCATAAGTGCCCTGCCTTTCATTGTAGCATTTGTACCTCTTGTTACTATTGGAATTGCGTTTTAATCGTATTTCTAATTGTTTCATTTAAGCATATGTATATGGTAAAATCACTAAAGCATTATGCAGGGAATTTCACAGCTTGGGAAGGAATTTTGTCCAAAATGTACATCAGGAGAACTAGTGAAGTCTAGAAAGCAACGGACAGCTATTACACAATAGATTGAGATTAACTAGTAGTTTTACGGACGACGTTTTTGGGTATTGAAATCAAGATCTGAGAGTTTTGAAGAAAGCGCGATACTTTAGAAAACTAATTTCATCATCACCCGATTTTAAACAAATGTAATCAGTGAGCATTGGATTCGGGGGTCCGACTTACTCGCAATAAATGCTTCCTAAATAATACTAAAGCCCCTATCCGAAATTAGAAAACTGAGACTGGTAAGAAAGTATAATTCCAAGAACCAAATTTGTAAATTTATCTTTCTGCCCCAGGCACAGACACCTTAGCTCAGACATTTTTACCTCCTCCAACGCATGCCTCCTCAGAAATATCTCGTTCGCAACTTCGGATGGGAGGTGACTGGTTGTCTTTATAGACGTCACGGGACCTCTCTAGACAAGCCCAGACTTTCTGTGAACTAATTTTCCCTACCTCGTCTACTGATTGCCGATTTTGGAACAAGAGAAGAAAATTCAATCTTTTATAAAGCTTTTTCTCAGAAAGGTGCTCTTATTGCCGTTTTGGATTAACTCGAGAATATTTTGTTTCACAAATGGAGATATGACAAGTACAGCATTTTTCATTGAGCTGCTAATCTAATTGATTTGACGAAAATAAACTGTGTTATCTAAAAGATAGTGGAGTTATGAGCCTAATAAGTTGTAAGTTGAAAGAAAGCATACTTGTTCTTTATTCCCTAAGAGTTTATGATAATCAATAGTTATGAAAATAATAATATAACCTATACATTAGATTTCATGTACACACATACCTTGTTTTCACTCAGTCTTGAATATTAAGTTAAGTAAACATGCGTTTCTAGCACCGAAGTAATTATGTACATATTTTTTTTTCTTTTTTCAAAAAAACTTTAGTCGAATCTTATTCCAATGATTGATGCACGTCAAATTTTTAATCATTTTCAAGTACCATTAGATGAAGAGTTAACAGAACATTTATTTGATTTAATCACAGTACCAGCGTCAAATGAAATGATTGAACATGTTAAAGAATGTATAAAGCATAATAAAGCGAACAATATAAGTAATGAGAAACATTATCATATTGAGAATGATATGATTAATTGGGCAATTGATTGGTGTAAATTAAGTGAATTATTGAATTGGAATAATGATAAATCTATGCGAAATTGCTGTTCTGGTTTTACTACTATTACTAGAAATAATAATAGTAGTATTGTTAAACCAGAATGTTATGAGGGTACGTTAAGTTCGAAAAGTATTTCATTAAAGTATAGTTCCATGTGGTAGTAATAATAATCCAAAAGTATTAGTTTCGCAGTTTGAATTATTACTATACCAAACCAGGAATGGATAAGTCCTTAATGATTTTTGCCAACATATTCAACGCAGCTTGCTTTATCTGGTTTTTTTAGATGAATGAGTGACTTTACACAAGGACCTGATGCACCATGATTTTAAATTTCTAAAAGAATAGCAAAAACTGTTTTGTAAGAGATCTGTGTTAGCGTGCTTTTCCAACAGTTGAGGTGTTCTTGTCGTATATCATTAGTTTGGTTGAGTTAATATTCATTCTTTACCTTATAAATAATGGACATCATGTTATCTTAAATTCTTAGATTATTTTTTGACTGGGTAAATGTGATTTGTATAAGTTGATGACGAAAATATCGTTACGGAAGTTATTTCTAATATAAAAGCCGATTTGATACAACTAGATAAATCTGCGAGACTATAATTTATGGACGACCTTTGAACAAACCTTAAGTGACCTTGACAAATATTAACCAATCAGAAAACGCCTAGTGTAGAGTAAAAATATATACAAAACCAAAGAATTAAAGTGAATACACTTCTTTTACATGGTTTAAAAACTTGTTAAGGTTCGAAAGAGGTTCAGAGGTTCTTAAATCGCAATGCATATGGTAGAGGGAATCATCCATATGGCTTCATAATAGTCGGCATCTGGAGCCATGATAAGGTCGCAAAAACCCTTTCAGCCTCAACCACATAGCTTCAATAGTGTTTGTGTGCACTCCGGCTGTTAGGCTCAAAAAATATCACTTGTGGATAACGACACGATGCAAATAATCAAGTCTATGTAAGTATCTGTACACTCTCCAATCACCTGTATATATTGTAGTACCCGGTAGCAGTCAGTGTTACGGGTGTTTTTTTTATTCAGTCATAGTTTACCATAGTCTTGATCTTGATCAAGCCAAAAAATCATATTCTAGCAGACTTCTTCCTCCGTCACATATTAAATCAGAAGACAACACCATTACGGTAGTCCGCACAAGGTTCATAAGTCATTTGATTACCACAATCACAAATGAAGGAACTTTTTAGTAGTCCCATTTGCTGTAGTTGCTCAATTATCACGTTTTCTCTCAAATCCACTGTAAACCGATCGTACGTGAGCATCAAGTACTGAAATTGACTCCGTGATCTTGAAATTCCCCAAACACTTCTGATTGACACGTCCATTAATTATTGTCTTGCCGATAAATCGAACAAGCACTACACAACAACACGCTATAAAAAGTCCCGAAGTATGAAGAAAGGGAGAGCAGTTATGCTTCAAAAAAGACAACTAAACTGATCAATATCACAGAATAGTATTTTAAGAGCGAGTATCTAATAAGGATAAGTGGTAAAGGCATGCGCTATCATATCCAAACATTCTTGAACTGTGAAAGATGAGGACGATAATGTTAAACCTACTATTATGGTAAAAATGTATTTACTCCTTATTGTTTCAAGTTAGGAAATATTATTACAGTAGGTTGATTGCTTACCCGCCAATTTATTCAACGATTCTTGATTAAGTTAGTGCATGAATAAATTTTAAGTTTATAAGCTTGTAATAATAATTTCTATCAAGAATTAACACGATTACATAGAGATTTGTTCAGTTGAAGAAAATGTTGACATCCAGAAAAAGTAATGAGAATGTAGTTCCTATCCGAATGGAATTTTCATGTATTGAAGCTAATACGACTCTTTCAGACCAGTGAGTCGGCTAACACTCAAAAGTTCACGTTCATATCTTCAGTTTACGAGTAAAAGAAAAAATGAAAAAACCAATTATTTCTGTTTCATTCTATACACTTGGTTGAAATCAAGTGGTCATGATTTCTCATTAGAACTTCAAAAAATTCTTCTCGAAGCAGGTTATCATCAAGATTTCTAATATTTTAGAAATACCCGGGTAGTTTATGAACAAAATTATCTTTTATCAATAATGAGGTTTTTAAATAACTTTATTTATTGGCAACTCGCAGCTTTAAGAATGAAATCGTCCCCAAAAGAAATCTATTCGCTTAATCACTTTCTCTTGTTTATCATTCATTTCATTGTTGATTGGATTTCAATTCATTCTGATTTTTGATCAGAAATATATTCAGATTTATATTTTGAATAGTGGATTAATGTAAAATTGGAAACCCAGGCGTTTTAAGGCTTGTCAGATTGATTCATTGATATCATGGTATCGTTGGTACGTTGAGATTCTAATCCTGTACTCATTGTTTCAAACACAGGCGCTTTATTCACTAGTTGACTGCGTTATATTAGCCAACAATATATGCCAAACAAATATAAGTCTTTAGAAATGACTATCAATAGTTAATTTTATTGAAATGTATTTTTTTAAATAATAGATACTGAAAATGTCCGCAGTCGTCTTCAACGTGCTATTCAAGCAAATATTCATCATTGGACAACAACAAATTCCATATACACTGGTAATCTTAATGGATTAATTAATACAGATAATTGGGAAATCCTTGGTGAAAAAAGCCTTCAACTTGATAAATTAGTACCTAAGGTAAAATGCCACATTTTTCAAGGTAAACAAAATTCTGTAACAATTATAGTCCTATCATAATACCAGTTTTTTTCCCTTAAGTAGTAAGTATTCTTTAATGGTCGCGATATGTCAATTTTGTGAAAAGTAATCATTTACTAACTTTAAATTATATTCAGAGAGGGGATTTTGTGGATATTATAGTAATTTTGATAGTTGGATTCTTTAGAAGTCCTGAGTAGTCCCACACTAGGATGAAACGGCCGTTCAGTGCTTCCAGGTTTTCTATGGTGATCTAGCTTTAATTGACTCATGAATTTAAATTATATGTCAATAAGGTTTATTAAAATCAATTACGTAACTTGAAGACTTGTTTTTTACTTGAATTATTTATCTAAGTGATCTGGTACAAGAAAATACGACTCGTGGACTGAAGAAGTAACCAGGTCTATTATAACATTTACTAATGACTTATTGAGAGAGACTGGTTGAACCTGAAAATATACACCTCAACATTCTACTTGGTTTTGAATATATAACAATGAGCATTCTTCAAAATTCGAAGGAATAATTTGTTAGAAACTGGGCGCTCACTATGTAAAAGACATAAAATATCAGTATCATACTGAAATGATGTCGACGATTGAAATTTAAATAATTTCAACGTTGGGATATTCTAAATTTTAATCACTGAGACTATTTTACATATAACTTGTTCATTTAACATTAGTGATTGGTGTGAGCTATTCTAAACCAATTATATTGGTCACAGACTGATTTCAAACTGATATCGAAATAACTGGAGCTGAAATTTTACCATGTGATGGCAACCGAATGGTGTCATTAATTAAGTGCTTGTCATGAGATGAGAAGGTTCTGGGTCTGATCAGTGGAGACATTCGTGATTACACAATGTTGAGATGTCCCATACCAAAATGAAAGGGAGTTAAGAATTTTAATGGGAAATACATAATAGCAAGCTTTCCACAGAGAAAATCGAACATATATGCAATGCTCCCTGGTTTTCAAGCACACTCTTATAAATATTAATCGTGAGAAACAGAATATCTTCAAGTTAATCAAAGTGATTAAGATCATGAACCGACTGATGTTAGACCACTGCGCGATTTCGTGAATTGGTTGATGTTAGACATTGACACCATTGGATGCCGGCTCAGTGGTTCAGTAGATTAAGTGTTCTCGCGCGAGTCTGAAGGCCTTAGGTTCGAATCCCGCGATGTGGATCGTGGATGCGCACTGCTGAGGAGTCCCGCAATAGGACGAAACGGCCTTCCACTGCTTCCAGGTTTCCAACGGTTCATGATCTCAACCCAAAACTTAATAATCACCACAACCCCTATACTGGTAATCAAAGTGATTTTAAACCTTTTCAACAAGTTGTAATAACATTTTTTGGACTGAAAGGGGGAAACATTTAAAATATATACCATTTTATTTGTTGATTGTATTCAAATAGACCAAATAATATATGTGTTTATCTTGTTCCTTTGCATTTTATCAGTTTCGTAGAACTACTGATCACGCACATTACGGTGATGAAGCTGGTGTTGGATCAATTATAAGTCCAAGTATATTCACAGACTATGGATTAACTAACAGAGATCTACTAACTCTACGTAATAAACAAGATGTTAGTTTGTTTTCTTCAACAGTTTGATCATATTTAAATTTTCGATAGCATTGGCAGTAATGTAACTAATTAATCAGTTACAGGGTCTTGTACTAGAATTTAACCTCATAGTATTTCGTTTGAAGGCAAATAATGTCAACGTTTGATTGCTCGAATTGACTTGAATGACACACTCAGTAGACTCACAATCACTTGAGTTTATCCCAAAGAGAACAAGATTTATTTTTTACGTTATTTATTTATGAATTGTAAAAAATTAGATTAGAGAAACAGACTGATGGGCTGTGATTTCAATTAATATTAAGTGATTGAAGACAGGAACCCTATAGATTTTTTATTATTTATGACTTACTGGAGTGATATACCTAAAGTCTTGAAGGGATTGGTTGAATGCACATCGGTCAGTGACCAAGAAAAAAATTTTCTTGATTTTATTTTCATAAGTGATTTTATAATTATTTAGTAAATTTCATATCAGATTTGGTTTTATTGATAAATTGCCTGGTTAATTAACATATCACAAGATGGTCTATCGAAAACTAAGTGAGTATGGAAATGTTGGCTCCCCAATGTCCTGGTACGGATGAGGGTGGGGAGAGTTAACTCTTCCTCTCGAAATGCTCTCACATGGTCACACATATACAAATGTTTCCAGGGAAGTCGTACTCACTACCTTCGTGTGGCGGGGGTGTTGCTTACGAAGTTGAGCGGACGAAAAGCGAATGTCCAGCGCTTTAACCGGGTTAGTGGATGTGAAGGGTCCACCAAAGGGAGTTGGAAAACATTGATTTCAAACCAATGGTGTACATAGGCTCGAGGATCCTGAGGGAACAAATGTTTTATGAAGTTATTGTTGGCCACCGACTACCGTGGGACTGCATCTCTAAACGTTGCTCCACTGTTTTGTGGATCAGACCTTTAGGCCGAAGGCTCTGGGTGTGGCCCCCCAAGAAAACCACCTGCTTCGATCTATGCACCCGGGCAGTATCACAGTCTATACACAAATCAAGTGACTTGTGTGGCGCAAGTGTATTCAGTGCCGCTTTGTACCAATATTTATGTGTTCAAATAAATAAAATACAAGCATTACTTTCGTAAATAAATGTTAAATTTACAGGGAATAATGTAATCTAAGTAAAACTACATACAACTTCACTGAAAAGTTTTGTCTACCACCCGGAATAATTTGATATTCATGAGTTTATAAAAATGTCAGTGACAAGTGTGAATGAACTGATTATTTGATTTTCCTTATTGGGTTTTATATAATCATTTCCAGTAGGTAAAAATAAAACTCAATAATGTTCATTTACTCAAGTAAGATTAGATTAAATACATTTTGATATTGATAAGTCTTGCTAATTGAACGTTATTCTCGTAACTATCAAGCTAGAACTACACAGCGACCTGAACACTAGAGAAAAGGCGCAAAATATGCGAGAAGTACTTTACTCCAAAGGTTCGTTTTTGTGCAGAAAATATGGGGTTTTTATAGTATTTTAGATGTCCTTGGGTTTCCCGAAAATTCTGGGACGCTACTAAACATAGTAGCAATATAGTAATCAGCCATTCAGAAACTCTACATGTGACTCTTCACTTTCTTGATGTTTCTGGCTAAACTTCAACTGAACGCTGATTGGATAAAATGCTTCTTAGTGTTTCTTGAGCCTTTCTTGTCTTTTGCAGGAAGTTTTCTGGATCACACCAACAGATATATATACTAGAGTTTTAACTAGTTCTGAGCGAAACAAGTCAGGATATAGTGGTGCACAACACACATTATACCATGCAAGATAATAATTTTAAATTGATTTTTAGTAATGTCTTAAGTCATTTGCTTTTTTAGTCTATACCAGTGATATGGGTATGGGTAAGCCACTTCTATATAAAGATGAGCTTAAAGTAGTGTATTCATTTTCCCTTCATCATTTGGAGAATATACAGTGTTGCGCCAATATGGAGCTCAGGAAGATAGCCTAGTGGTGCTCAAAATGGCAGTCGGATGGATGTGCTTCGGTCATACATCGCTCAAATTAGGTCTTACTATAAATGGTCAGATATTATTTAAGTTACATTCACTAGTGAACTTGGGACTTAGATACTATTACAATTTGTACCTCGCAGAACAGATCTCGAAAGAGTCTTCCAAGTCCAAACGTCCTATGGTTTGCATAATTCATAACTTCCATAACGAGTCACGTATTTTAATGAGTCAAGTTTGTGTTCGACCACTCCTATAACACTGATTGTTTATTCTTAGTAGAGTTCGCATAAAGTATAAATTAAGGTTGGGATCCGTTCAGAGACGATTTACACTTTGCATTCCTGGGACAGATTGTACCTTGAATTACAAGTCCATATGCAACGACCTTGGAATGGACCCTTTATAGAAGAGCAAACCCAAACTAAATCAAATTTTTTCTTTAAAATGCTTAATAAACTGTCCTTTACATACAGTGGAGTAATTCAATAATCAGAAACCCCTAGTTAAAGTATCAATAACTATTTGTCCCTAGAGAAACAATCACATTTTAAATCTTCTTTCCGTATGAATTACATTACCAATAGGTTTTCCAGACACGAATCATTTTTCAAAATCTGTCCGTGAAATAAAATTACTGACATCCTTTGTCCGCTATATCGATACTTACTTTTCTTCTAAAGACAGCTTAGATGTGCTGACACCTGTAAGTATATCTCATTGCACAAGTGAGATTATAGTAACTTCAAATACTTAATAGTTTTTATTACTGAATATGCTAAGTAAACCTCCGCGCAGTTGTTACGTTACACTAACATCGTCCCTGATAAACTTAACTAATTTGTGTAATAACCTGACACATGTTATGGTAGACCCGACTGACCTATCGTAGTAATTATTGCTTTTGTTGTTCCGTGCTCTCTGCTTCCGTTTTATTTTATCTAGTTGTAGGTGGTTATAATCAATTCTTATGGCACAGGAAATAAACTCGAATGCACTGTTCATACAACAATAGGATGTCCACTTAAAAAAGCTCAAAGGTTCCCGGCTGATTTCTTTCACTGCTGTAATTAATGTGAAAAACACATTACTGTGAACAAAGCACTCCAAAACAATTTAGTATCACATATCTGTTCTCAACTTTTTGGTTATTTATACTTTGTGGAATCAAGTCAGACAAGCGAAGCTATACTTTATGATTTAGTTAACATTATAACATTCATATTTAAACTGTATTTCATTAGTTACGTTCAAGTCTTGTTAGTTACATTAACAGAAACGTAGATACATTCGGATAGTCAATTGTTAATAGGCTCAAATGTACAGTTAGAATTTCACTGTTAGCCATCAATTATATTATGACCTACTTGCTAAAAGTTGTGTTTGCTTTTTGATTCGAGAACGCTTAGAAAAGCTTATACGTCTTAATCATTTATAAAGTTGTTATTTTATTTAATATTTTCTGTAGTGACAACGATATTTGCTTTCATCTTTCAGTTACTCATCATATTATCAAGGTGATAAAATCAATCATTTTACAATAAATAATTACCAAGTCTAAGATACTGAATGTCCTTATATCAAATATTAGTTACTATAGATACATTATTTTGATGTAGGTGTGGATAGTATATAAGGACATTAGAAAATAACTAACATAAATTATTTGACTGGATATTAGTTGAATAAATAGAACTTTTCGGACTATTTTTTTTGGAAGAAATAAAGGAAACAAATTAACCGTTCGGTTTTCAAGATTCGTAAAGTTTATATATATGAGCTACAGTTAATAATTAAATTCAGTAGTTGAATTCATGAGTCAGTTGAAGCTAAACAACCATAGAAAACCTGAAAGCACTGGACAGCCGTTTCGTCCCACTATAAGGCTCCTCAGAAGTATGCATCCACGGTCCCGCCTCTCGATATTCGAACCCAGGACCTATCAGTCTCGCGCGCGAGCGCTTAACCTCTAGACGGAATCGTGAATGCATACTACTGAGGAGTCCCATACTAGAACGTCCAGTGGTGATCTAGCTGCAAATGACCTATGAATTCAATCACTAAATTATTATATTATCCACAAAACCCCTCTCTGATTATAATATTTAAATGTAAAAAAGTTGTTAAAAGCATGAAATTCAACAAAGCGATCCTCTCTCCAACGACTTCATTATTAAGTTGTACAATCGTATAAATATATATGAAAATCTTTGTCAAAGTATCGATCTCATCAAGACATATATCTGTATGTTCACATACACACACAATCGTTTAATACTATTATTATATTCATATCACGTGTATTGGATGGTCCTATACTGAGCCCACATAGCTTATTCTAGCTTCGGAACAGATCAATTTATCCATTATTCTTGAGTCATGTTTTGTTCATGTTAATTCGCTTATCAACCTTGACTGTTCTTATATGTATATATGTACACTTCTTATCCTACTCATATGTCTGTAGCTAATTTTTGTGCGACTATAAATATTGACAAACGCTTGATTAAATGGAGTTGGCTCACACGCTTCGTCCACCGCGCGGCATTTCGCTTTACTCCCTTCGCTTCGTTTCTTCGATCGTTTGTCTCCATCAGAAATTGTACGGAATTATATGTATTCGTAATCCATTCTCGTATTTGACTTATTTAGTTACGTTATTCATTAACCCTATCTAAGTCGATAATTATATACGAGGATAGGCGACATATATAATATTTCGATAGCACTCATTCAATAGTAATAAACATATGATTTAATTGGAGTCAAATCACGGGCCACTAAACACGTAATCTAGTATTACAATCCTTCTATCACGTCATCATGTTTATTTCTTCTTTATATGTCTTCACGGAACTCATACTTTAATTTTTAAAAACCTTCATATATATAATGAATTCGTTGAAATGAGATCTCTTTGCTGAATTTCATGTTTTTAATGTTTAAATGAGAATTATATGTCAATCAAGCAGTTAGATTATTTCATTAATGAAATACAGATTAGATTTTTTGGTGTGCACTGTTATTTCATGTGTCGACTGAACTTGTATCATCAAGATTATCAGCCTTAATAATAGGTTCTTCACTTAAATAAATAACGTGCTTTTATAAGAATTAATAACAAAGAGATTCCATAAGCAAAGATGGATAGTGACTAGTAGTGGACTCCAGGACGCTCGTTTCGTCCCATTTTTGTGAAAATACAAGTAAAAAATACCAGTTTAAAAGATTCCATTATTAAATGTTGGAAATAAGTTAGGGAAAATAATCAGCTCTTCAATCAATTAAGACCTGACTATTAGTCATAACTTGCACTCATCATATCAATCAACTATTTTATGCTTTATCTGAAATGTATGCTTGTAAGATGATAGAAAATGCTGTAGAGATGAAACTGGCAGTCAATCCTTGTTATCAAAGGTAAATAATTGTTGATATCTATTATAAGAGCATTTCTTAATGTTCATGTCGTGATAGAGGTATATTTGTACGAATTGAGCAATCGGTCACTTGAATTAATACGCACAACACGGTCAAATAATGATTGTTTACATAACTTAAATAATTTATCTTGTCCAAATGAATACATTTCCTTCTATACAGCATAATTGATATAATCTTATACAAAATATTTTAGAAATAAATTAGCAGAATTAAAATCCATTTGAAACATTAATGATTGTTTATTAAGGGTTATATCGGTTATTGCTGAACCTACTAACTGTTGAAAAAGGTCCTAATTTTGTAATTTTATTCTGAGAATTCGAATTTTATGTTTTCGCGTCAAGAGACGCTTACTTGACTTATAGCCTACATTTCTCACTCAGAAATCTTTGACGGATTTTGTTAGTACGTTATTTTGTGGCCCTCCCAAGGGCGTTTCTATCACTATATAAACAAACTTGATTTGTGTGCTTAGTGACCTCGTATTTTCTGGGTGCTTGTAGAATACATTCTCTACGCCCCATCAAGACTACTTGACCTAGTTAACAGGGCCGGGGACAACGGATTAGAATAGCCTGTCATGTCCCTGTATATTTGACCTTCGTTCCGTTTACCGAGTAATGTGAACTCGTAATAGCATTCAAGTAGATCACTTACTGTTCATTATGTCATTATGTTTTATACATTATTTCAATTATAGTAGCCTGATCAAAATCTGTTGGATGATAAGGATTTCATACTATTTAGTGTGTATACAATATCCCTTAAAATGACTATTATTATGTTTTTATTGAAGTCCCAACAGGGATCGAACTCAAGATCTTCATGCCTAGATGTTCGTCCTAACCTCAAAGTCGTTTCATCTAGAATTCATTTTAGTGTTTATCTGTTCCAAGTCAAGTTAATTTGGCTTAGAATAAAAGGAAATTTGAGTGAGGTTATAAAGAACAAACTGCGTAGACGCCAAACTTCAAGACCAAGAGGCTGGATTCCTTAAGGATCGATCGCGTGCAGACCAAAATGTAACACTACGAATCATTGTGGAACAATCAATCGGATGGAATTCATCACAGGAAAACACTATGGAGGCTTCTTCGACACTCAGGCGTGCCTCAGAAGATAGTCAATATCATACGGAATTCCTATGGTGGTTTAAACTGCAAAATTGTGCATGGAGGAAAGCTCACAGACTAGTTAGAAGTAAAGACCGGAGGAAGAAATCAAGAAGAGGCTCTGGAAGTGGATAGGACACACATTGAGGAAAGTACCCAACTGCGCCACAAGGCAAGCCCTCACTTGAAATCCTCAAGGCCAAAGGAAAAGGGAATGACCAAAGAACATATTACGCTGAGAAATGGAGACAAACATGAGAAAAATGAACAAGGAATGGATAGAAATAGAAAGGGAGGTCCAAGACAGAGTGGGTTGAAGGATGCTGATCGGCGACCTATGCTCCACTGAGAGCAACAGTCGTAAGTAAGTTATGTAGAACATTGCCATTGATTGTAACTGTTTAACACACACGAGTTAGTCAAAAATAAAATTTGCTAACTAAATTGAAATCGAGTTCAACTCAGTCATTAATTGAATTTTACAAATGTACATTCATTTTTATCTTTACCACTATGTATAATAAACTCACATGTAAACATGATCTTTCCGTCCAAAAGTTTGAACATTTTACTCGAATGAACTCACAAATGAATATTATATTAGTTGTGTATTTTTAGTGAATTACCTGCCTCGTATAAAATCAAGGATGTTAAACACCTGCAAGTCATAGTAAACTGTATGTCAAATACTTCTTAATCTTGATCAAGTTTCCATCTGATTTTTGTTAATAATAAAAAATATCATGAAGATAGGTTTTTGTTTGTTATCTCTGTAGTGATCAACAATAACACAAACAATTTCTCAGTTACTTTTGGACAATATGGAAATATGATAAGTGATTTACTATTTGTATTCATCTTTTATTTCATTACTGTTATTTCTAAAAACTTATTAGATCGTATCAATATCTGATATGTTATTGAAGCCATTAGGAGTTAGAAACCAATTAGTATGACACATACATTTTACTGACTTGACTGTAATGTTTAGCACACACAGGATGATATATAGCGACTCACGTGCAAATGGGTTTATTCTCATTTAACTCAGTTAAGCCCTTTTTGCTAACTTATTTAACGGACAAAGCCATCCGCACCATAACAATTTATTGTACCCTTATTATTATTTTGTGCTTGTCTGAAATACGCATGCTTGAATATTGCTTACGGCCTACGCATTTGTTCACCCTGCTAGTCTCACTACTAACCGCTTATTTGATTCGATTACTCATTAATTTCACATGCTATATATATGTCCATGTTATTCATATGGCTGACTCTGCTTTCTCGATCGCTTGATTGTACTCGATTACTTACATTCGCTCAGTCGCTCGCTTGCCTGTTTGCCGTTCGACACAACTCTTAATGCTCGTTTAATGCATCTGTAATTTTGGACATCTGTGTGTGTGGTCTCGAAATAAACGTAATCAACGCTTCGTATTCGCCTTCTGAATAATATACCGTTGGGGTTAAATAGGACGGTTATCAAGACGAATTGTATACGAAGTTTAAGGGATATATCGAATACCGACCACCACATAATTGGCGATCCCGAAACACGAAACACGAAACAATCTTGAACTACATAATCCAATTCCTAAAATCCAACCTACTCGATTACAATTGTAACTATCATTTGGATTATAATTATAACTGTGGATTTATTATCTCATTATTTTAATTATACGTACATTATCTCACAAACATTATAGAACATAATGATAATATTCATAATAAACAACGATATTTTTACAAACAATTGATATTTTGGTGCAATTTAGTAAGTCCGTTCTTTGTTATAAATTGTACCATTTG